GGAGGAGAAGGAGGAGGAGGCGGATTAAAGGCAGACGTGACGAAAGATTAGTTTGGGGGGGCTCTCGGAATTCTCAAAGGTTGCCAAACATGTCTGGGGCTTCTTGGGACGGTGAAGGGAAAACGGGAGGGAGGAAGTGAGGACAAAATGCCCTGGCGACCTACCCAACCCCTGCGCAAACGCGGGGCGCAAATAGTTTAGGACACTTCATAAAGGGGGCGATGACGGAGCGAGGGTTACATAGGTCTGCAGACGGAATTCGGGAGACTCGCAGGACACTGGCTACAGGACGAGGACTAGATAAAGCTGATTGGTTACAATCCTTGAGCAACCATAGCCACTTCGAAAGCGGGGATCTCAGATCGCAGCCCCCCAGGGATGGCGAGGTCTAATTTGGGTCCGCGCGTGGCGTCACTGTGCTGGGCCCCCCAGCAGGCCTCGAAAGTGGCGACAGCTTCACAGATCGAATCCCCCCAGGGATGGCGAGGTCTAATTTGGGTCCGCGCGTGGCGTCACTGTGCTGGGCCCCCCAGCAGGCCTCGAAAGTGGCGACAGTTTCACAGATCGCAGCCCCCCAGGGATGGCGAGGTCTAATTTGGGTCCGCGCGTGGCGTCACTGTGCTGGGCCCCCCAGCAGGCCTCGAAAGTGGCGACAGTTTCACAGATCGCAGCCCCCCAGGGATGGCGAGGTCTAATTTGAATCCGCCCGTGGCGTCACTGTGCTGGGCCCCCCAGCAGGCCTCGAAAGTGGCGACAGTTTCACAGATCGCAGCCCCCCAGGGATGGCGAGGTCTAATTTGGGTCCGCGCGTGGCGTCACTGTGCTGGGCCCCCCAGCAGGCCTCGAAAGTGGCGACAGTTTCACAGATCGCAGCCCCCCAGGGATGGCGAGGTCTAATTTGGGTCCGCCGTCACTGTGCTGTCGACTGTGCTGGCGCCAGCAGGCCTCGAAAGTGGCGACAGTTTCACAGATCGCAGCCCCCCAGGGATGGCGAGGTCTAATTTGGGTCCGCGCGTGGCGTCACTGTGCTGGGCCCCCCAGCAGGCCTCGAAAGTGGCGACAGTTTCACAGATCGCAGCCCCCCAGGGATGGCGAGGTCTAATTTGAATCCGCGCGTGGCGTCACTGTGCTGGGCCCCCCAGCAGGCCTCGAAAGTGGCGACAGTTTCACAGATCGCAGCCCCCCAGGGATGGCGAGGTCTAATTTGAATCCGCCGTGGCGTCACTGTGCTGGGCCCCCCAGCAGGCCTCGAAAGTGGCGACAGTTTCACAGATCGCAGCCCCCCAGGGATGGCGAGGTCCAATTTGAGTCTGCCGTGGCGTCACTGTGCTGGGCCCCCCAGCAGGCCTCGAAAGTGGCGACAGATTCACAGATCGCAGCCCCCCAGGGATGGCGAGGTCAAATTGAGGTCTGCCCGTGGCGTCACTGTGCTGGGCCCCCCAGCAGGCCTCGAAAGTGGCGACAGTTTCACAGATCGCAGCCCCCCAGGGATGGCGAGGTCTAATTTGAATATGCCCGTGGCGTCACTGTGCTGGGCCCCCCAGCAGGCCTCGAAAGTGGCGACAGTTTCACAGATCGCAGCCCCCCGCAGGCAAGACAGGAGGAGGCAAGAGGGAGGCGGGACGGGAAGAAGGGAGCGGAGACCACACTGCTCTATTCAAAACGAATACCCGACCAAGGAGGGTTGGGAATTAAAAAAAGAATGAGGGGAGCAAGAACAGAAAATTGGGAGAGGAAGTGGGAAGAGGAGCCCGGCATCAGATACCGAGCTCCTAGTCGGTTCATCCCTGGAACACCGCCCCTTCTTCCGCCTCCTGCTCCCTCCCACCTTTATTTTTCTGTCGCCCTCCTCTCTCCCTCCTCCTCCCCCCTCTTCCAACCTCCTCCGCTCCCGCTGTCCTCATCCCGACTTCCCACTCCGCCACCCCGCCAGGCGACAGGCACAGCGAACCACCACGCATATCTCTACAGATTTGCTGTTCAGCTCAGCAAAGGGTGCACGGCCAGTCCGCCGATAATTGCAAAACAGAAAAGTGGCACCGCCAGATTCCAGCACTGGCACGTGTATTGTTGCATGCAAGGCTGGTGGATGAGTGGGGAACTCGGCGGAGGAGAGATACACGAAGATGGGAAGATGAAAATGTATGATGATGCGGGTCCCATGTTGTGTCGCCCAGCCATAACGCACAACTGGGCAGATCTGGGGACGAAGAACAACAATCCGGAACATCGCTATTTGGGGGTCTCAAGCGGTTCGGGCAACGCGTCGCCAAGACTGGGCGAACGAATGTTCCACTCCTTTCTGGGCAACTCCGGCGAACCATTCGTGGTGAAACTTCTGGCAACACTGAACACCCTTAAATGACAGAACCCATGTCTGCCGTGACGATGCCGCTCAAGCGTACAACACTTACACCAATGGGCCCAAACCAAACCCGATGTCATGCAATGCGGCAACTCTACTTAACTACTCAATGCACTGCAAAGGCGGAAAGAAATAGATGCAATCAACCGCCGAGGAGGGCATAAGAATTTCGGGCAGCTGCGAAGATATAACGGCTTGCACCACAAAAGGCTACCATGATGAACTGTTCTGACGGTGACGATGGCGATGCGGACAGTGACAACAGAGGTGCTGGTGCGGATCATTTCGAAACCAGGAAACAGTTGCTAAGCGATGGGTGCCAAGCGGGTCCCCGAGGACATCGCGTCAAACGAGTTTTTGAGACAGAGAGGATGGATGGAACGGTAACATTGAGGATGGTAGTGCGGCCCACTGAACCCATACACTGCGAAGACGCTGGGCGTTGCAAGGATGACCGCGAACCCAATGGCAATAACCACTACGTCTAGTCTGCACCACTGGCGCACACTTTGGACACGAGGGTAAACCAAAACTCTGGAACCCCGCAATGACCCAGCACAGAATTAGAGATCGATGTTCTGGCAGGTTAGAACACACGCTGACCACGGGCCGAACGATACAGCGTGAGAAATGCGTTACTATTGGCTGGCCGCACGCCTATACTAAATGGGGCAAATCATTGACAAAATCAAAGACTTCTCGCGCCATGCGAACACAAGCCGCTCTGGCAGCATACTTGGGTGAGCAAGGATAGATCAATGACGCACTATGCCGTCAAGAGCAAAGGCTCACACACAACGATTGCGCCCATTGCCCGATCGGCACAAAGCGGAAACCGCGGGCAAACATGACCCGATACCAATCCGCTCTACCAATCGGAACGGAAATCGCCCGAGGTCACCAATAACCTCCGATGCGATGGATATAGCAAGCTCTGGGACGGTTGCTAAGAGACTGCTGGCAAATCCCCGTTCGAACACCGTCGCAAATTGACACCGCGCGACTTCTTGACAAAGGGGAGGCCCGTCGTTCAAGTCGGCATCCATGTGGCGGCATCTCACGCCAGCGCACCAACCCAGCGAAGCTGAAAACGACGCATCGGCATAATGGCAAGGGCCGAAGCGCAAGCGAAGGTCCACGTGAGGCTGGCGATTCCCCGTCTCTTCCCACACGGCGGCACCATCGGCCGCATCGTGCAAAATGTGTCGCCACCCAGGGCGGAACCGCCAGCACCAGGAATAGCGCGAAATTCCACGAGAAAAGGGCGAGAGAGAGAAACGCAACGATGGCGAACTTGTCCTCCAGAGTCGCAGCAACACGGCCGACTGACGGCGCGCCCAATAGTCGTCGGCTTGACTCTCGTCGGGCATCATGGCGCGCGCAAGGCCAGCTCCTCACGAGTTCTGCGGCGCTCCTTATTGACGGCTACCATGGCATTCGCCCTCTCTGAGATGTCGTCCACCAGAGCGGGCGCGATGCAGAGACAGGGGGAAGGGGGAAAGCAACGGCAGGCACTGGGAGAGGAGTCCAGAGGGGGAGAGTAAAGTAACAATTGGGAACCCAAGCAGTAAGAGAAGAGCCTGCGCCAAGCACCGTATCCAATGATGGCAACCCGCCTCGCGGCGCCCAACCTAGGATGGCAAGGGGATGCAAATGGGGAGGGGGGGAGGAGGAGAGGAAACGAGGACATATGCGGCGGACAGGGGGGTGGCGGGAGGAACGAGAGAGGGGGAAAGAACACGGGCGAGAGAGATACCTCAGACAGAACGAGGCACTACAACTTGCCCACACACGGTGAAATTGCCAGCGGGTCGCGAAGCAAGGGGCTGCGGCGCCGTGCTGGAGGGGCAGAGGCTCGGCGGCAAGCAACGAGGGAGCAAGGCCAGGGGGGGGTCCTTCTAAGATGACTCCCCGTCTCTCGCGAGGCGCAGCGGGCATGTTTGATGAAGGGCCGATGCTCCCTTGAAGTGCTTGGCATCAAATCCAGGGTGGGATGCCCCCTGCCCTCTTGGCAATGAACTCCCCGAACCTGACATGCGACTCCAGGAAACGTAACTCTCCGACACGACGTCACGCACGTGCTTCTAGCTCTGAAGCGGCTTCAGCAATTCAGGCCAGATCGATCCAAAAACCAACAGGGCCCGAGACCGGGCACACACGCCCGTCATGACCTTCTTGATTGCGACCCCCAGGTGTAAGACTCCCCTCGCTCCCCCCTCTCCTCGGCCTCCCTCTCCACCTCCCCCTCCCTTCTTCCCATTCCCCCCGTCTTCCACCTCCTCCCTCGCAGCTCCTGAAAAAAACCCTGCCCCCCCCCCCCCCCCCTGGAGCACCCTGGGATTGCCGAAAACCAGCGGCGCCCCCTGCTCGAGCCCCCTCTGCTCGCCGCCAGGCCTGGAGCCAGGATCGGCGACTCCGAAGGGTGTGGTTTGCACAGGATGTGGTTTGCAACCGGCACCCGTGGGGGGCACCCTTGGGGGCGGGCGAGGACCACGACAGAGCTCTCCGCCGCGCCCCGAGGAGGCTCGACGAGGACAGCGTCGTGCCCCCCAGGGCCCAACAGAGCCGCTCGTCAACCACATCCTGGCGTAAACAAACCGTTTGTAGCCGCCGAAATGAAGGTGATCGACCAGGCTCAGAGCAGCACCTCCAGCACCTCGACCACGAGCGGCTCCTCTGGCGCGGATCGCGGGTGCCGAGCGGGCGCCAAGCTCTTGCGCCAGAAGAGAAGGAAGGCGGGGAGCCAGGGGCCCGACGGGAGTCCGCGGACGCCGCTGCTTCTGCCAGAGAGAAAGAAAGAGATGGTACGAAGCAGGGATTTATTCATGACTACCGCCTGGGAACCGACTTCCTTGCACCCCAGCGAGCGGTGGATATGGATATAGTCTTAGGATATGGTCGAGCCCCAGGGGTGCCGAAAATATCTACATCCACCGCCTGCCGAGGTCCCGAAGATCAGTCCCCCAGGTGGTGGTATGGATAAATCACTGCGGAGAAGACGACTCTCCGCGAGCCGAGGTGTGCTCCCCGCCCCTCCCCGAGAGGGCAATCGGGTCATTTCTTCCTTGGCGTCTTCCTCGAAGTGGACGAATCCTGTGGTGACTTAGGTAGCGTAAGAGTGCGCGAGGAACAAATGCCAACACCAATACGGCGAGGAACCGAAGACCAAGACGAAACGCGATAATGATGCAAAAACCTGATGAGCGAAAATGACCCTCGCAGATGCACCCCTCGAACAACTGCACGGGCATCCGTGGCCGTTGGGCACATGGCTGTAAACTTCGTAGCGACCTTGAATTGCTGGTTGGCAGTCTCTCTGCAAGCTTTCACCACGACTTTGTCACATCAAATCTTACGAAATGCCACGAGTCCGCATTGGTTTAGATTCGTCACCGGGTCATCGGACAACACTGTCTGCCTCATTTGAGGGGCTGCTGTCATCACGGCTTCCATGAAGCAATGGGTCAGCGGTCAGCAATCTGACGTACTCCCGAGACCATGCTTTGGCTCAGTTCGAACGGGCCTGCCGCTGTGTATGATTTCTCAGAGTTGGCCGTCATTTTGATGATCCTTGAGCCCGACTGCGGACCCCAAACCTTGAGACCGCCCAGTCGCCCGTCGCATGCTCCCACTCCGTCGCGAAGCCGCCCGACGCTCCAACTCCCTCCTATCCTCCTCCGATTCCTCTGGCTCCTCCGCTTCCTCATTCTCGACAGCGACGGGCGACTCATCCTCCGCCTCGTCTCCCTTCCTCTCGCCCGCCGCCTCCTCGTCCTCCTCCTCCTCCTTGTTCCTCCTTCTGCTCCGCAACATTCTTCCCCAACTTCCTCCGACGCCTCCCCCTCCTCCTCCTCCTCCTCCTCCTCCTCCTCTTCGGTCTCCTCCTGCCTCAGGGTTCCCCCCCTCCTCCCTTTGGGCTCCGAGTCCGCCGCGTCGGGTGCCGCCGGCGCCCTCGCCGCAGTCCGGACCCAACTCCAGGCCTCGCTGCAGGCAGGGGGCGTGTCGTTGCCAGTCGTCGTCGCGGCGGTCGCCGCCATCGTCGTCGATGTCCTCGAGGCCGTCGTCGTCGTCGGGCGGAAGACGAGGATGGAGGAGTCGGAACAAGGGAAGCGGGAGAAGAGAGGCTTCATCGGGAGGATGGGCCCCTCCTCCCTGCTGCCTCACCCCTCCTCCCTCATTGTTTGTCCTGCTCCCAGGCCTAAACGGTGTCTATGTTTGTGTGCAATTGGCGGCTCCCGAGGAGAGGAGGGGGAGGAGTGGCGCATCATTCAGACATGCAACTACAAGCAGCATATTGGGCCACAGACAATGCCATGCTGTAAGGAGCATACGACAAAAGACGATACTGGTGTTTCACAAGGTCGTCCGATATTCTTGGCCCGGTAGACTCGGACTTGGCGACGCCACCCCCTGACTGCATGGCCCTCCAGACATCGTGACGGTGAGTCGCGAGGGCCAGACAAGCTGGCACTGGAGAGCCATGCAGTCAGGGGGTGGAACAAATTGACGCCAAGCTGCACAGTAGTGGTGGCTAGTGCGGCTGCGAAATAAGAACGGGAGGAGGAGGAGGAGGAGGAGGAGGAGGAGGAGGAGGAGGAGCATGTTTCCCAACCCCATGTGTTGGGTTCTCGTTTTGAATAGAGCAGTGTGGTCTCCACCCTCCTTCTCCCGCCTCCCCTCTCCTCCCCTCCTCCTTCTATCCTGTTTCCTGTGTTCCATTCTCCTCTTCTCTCGTGCCGTCTGCGATCTGCGCAACTGTCGCCACTTTCGTTGGCTCCTGGAAGGCCCAGCGGAGGTACGTCCCACGCGGATCACCCCGGGACCTCGCCGCCCCCTGGGGGGCTTGCGATCTGCGCAACCGTCGCCACTTTCGTGGGCTCCTGGAAGGCCCAGCGGAGGTACGTCCCACGCGGATCACCTCGGGACCTCGCCGCCCCCTGGAGGGCTTGCGATTTGCGCAACTGCCGCCACTTTCGTGGGCTCCTGGGAGGCCCAGTGGAGGTACGTCCCACGCGGACTACCTCGGGACCTCGCCGCCCCCTGGAGGGCTTGCGATCTGCGCAACTGTCGCCACTTTCGTGGGCTCCTGGGAGGCCCAGCGGAAGTACGTCCCACGCGGATTACCTCGGGACCACGCCGCCCCCTGGGCGGCTTGCGATCCGCGCAACTGTCGCCACTTTCCGTGGGCGCCTGGGAGGCCCAGCGGAGGTGGGTCCCACGCGGATCACATCGGGATCTCGCCGCCACCTGGGGGGCCTGCGATCTGCGCAAGTGTCGCCACTTTCGCGAGCTCCTGGGAGGCCCAGCGGAGGTACGTCCCACGCGGATCACCTCGGGACCTCACCGCCCCCTGGAGGGCTTGCGATCTGCGCAACTGTCGCCACTTTCGTGGGCTCCTGGAAGGCCCAGCGGAGGTACGTCCCACGCGGATCACCTCGGGACCTCGCCGCCCCCTGGGAGGCCTGCGATCTGCGCGAGTGTCGCCACTTTCGTGGGCTCCTGGGATGCCCAATGGAGGTACGTCCCACGCGGATCACTCGGAGGTACGTCATACGCGTTTCTTTCAACGCCCCTGTGTTTCCATTTTGGATGTTGCTGTTCCTCTTCCTGCTGCGCTCTTCTGAAAGCACTGCTGGGTGCTCGTTTTGCGCACTGCGGGTCTTTCAGAATGCCAGTCAGCATTGAGTGGTCCTGAGCATTATCGCCACATGTATAGAAAGGGTTGGGTACGCCACAAGGTAAGTTGACATGAGCCGTGCCTTGGACAACGGTGCACGACGAGGAGAGAATTACGGTGCCTGGCACAAGCATCGCTGGAGAAGCCTCACCGTCTGAAGAGCCCCAGCGTGAAACCAGGCTGCGAGCATGCACAAGTGGCCTGGGCGCGGCATGGCACCTGAGAAACAAAACAACGCATCACGTACGGATCCAACCTCGGTTAAAGCCATGCGGTCGGGAACCGACGGAACTGGGAACCCCGACAACACGAACGAAACCTGAAACAAACAGGCGCCGCCCATAAGGGCTGTGCCAAGCCCTGACTGGCTGGCCGCAGCACGGGTGGCCAAGCTAGCAGCCAAGCGCGACCTCCAGAAAAGCGAAGGCGTGCGGGAGAGGACAAAAAGACAAGAGGCCCCGCCTGTATTGCGACATCCTCGCCACAATCAGGGCCAGCGGCCAACGCATCCAATAAGACGGTCAGCAAGCTGGGCAGTACCACGGCACGGATGAAACACCGCGGGCGACATGAGGAGGAGGAGGAGGAGGGGGGGGAGGAGGAGGAGGGGGAGAAGGAGGATGAGAAGGAAGGCGGCAAAATGGGAAAACCTCGCACTTGCTCCAGCAGTCCGTGCACGCTGCCTTCATCATTCCGTCGAGAGTTCTTGCAAGGTTGGAACGGGATCGACAGTGCACTGCAATAATCAGAATTTAAGAATGTGATACCGAATGAATCGGAACCTCGCCAATAAATTGGTTTGGGTCTCGGCTCATGCTGCGCGTGCGGGCGAAGCAAAGCTGCATGACCTCCTACAAGCTAGGGCAGATCAGGCCAAGATAAATCGTCCCCGTCCGCCAGGGCGTGAGCGGGGGTTGTCCCGTGGTTGTCCAATGCTTGTCCTGTGGTTGTCTTGTGATTGTTCGGTCAATAGCCTTTGGTCGAATCGTGGTTGTCCAATCGTTGTCCCGTCAATGCCCGTGGTTCTTCCGTGGTTGTTCTGTGGTTGCCCCGTGGTTGGGCCGATGGTTGCCCCGAAACTGTCCTATGACTGCCTTGTGGTTGCCCGTACGTGTTCCGTGTTTGGTCTGTGGTTGCTCAATGGTTGTCCCGTTGTTGTCCCATGGTTGGCCCATGGTTGTTCCGCGATTGCCCAACGGTTGCCCCGTCTGTAAATGGATAGAACATGAACCATATACACAAACAGTGAGATCGATTGATAAACCTTTCTAGACAAGAACGGGAAGCGCTGCTTCTCTGAGCTGTCGTGCTCACGCGCGCATGGATTTGCAACCAACGCGCATGCGTGCACATGGATGCAGTCGCTGGTCTCTCAGTGCCCAAATGGCCGCCATTGGTAGCTCGCGTTTAGTGGTTGCCTGTGGTTGCTTTGGTCAGGTATTGCGCATGGCCTATGCTTTTGTACAACATATCCACAAACAATGAGATCGATAAGCAGACCTGGTCGGACTAGTCTAATGGGCGTTTTGGGCGAAGAAGAAAAGGAATGCGAGGGCAACGAGGAGTCGATGACGAGGACGACGTGGCGAACGTGAGGATAGCGAGGAGGAGCATGAGGACAACGAGGAGGAAGCGAAGCACAAGGACGAGGACGAAGAGAATGAGGGCGAGTACGAGGAGGAATGCGGAGGGTGATGACGACGACGACGACAGAGGACAGTAAGAGGCAATTGGAGAACGACGTTTCCTGGCGCCGCGCGGGGTTGTCTTGGGGCCTGTTGGGGGCTTCTTGGGGGCCCCTTGGGTCTCTTCTGGGCTTCTGGGGTCTTCTTGGGCTGTCTGGGCGTGTCGTGGGGTTCTGTCGGAATTTTCTTATGCCGTCTCGGCGCCATCTTGGACCGTCTTGCGGCTTTCTTGGGCCGTTTGGGGGCCTCCTGGGGCGCTCCCGGGAGTCTCTTGGGGCCTTCTTGGCCCTTCTCGGGCCGTCTCGGGGTTCTTGTGAGCTGTCTGGGTGGCTCTCTGGGGTGTCTTTTAGACCTCCCTTAGGCCGTTGGGAAGCCCTCCAAGAGCGGTTCGAACACGATGTCGACTCGGAGTCCCCTCTTGGGCGATGTTGTTTGGATGCCCCTCTGAAAGAACACAAGCCTCCTGGGCGCCGTTTTAGAGCTCGTCGTCGTCGTCCGTCGGCGTCATCGTCGTCGTCGCCGCAGTCGTGCGTCATCGTTCGTCACTCGCCGTTGTCGTCGCACGTGGGCCGCCGCCCAAGACGGCCCAAAAGAACCCACAGACGGGCGATGTTGCTTCAAGGCCCCCCTAAAGAAGAAAAGCCTCGTGGGAGCCGTTTGGGAGCCTCTTGGGGCCTCTTCTGGGCCTCTTTGGGGCCGTTGTTGGGCCCTTTTTGAGGCCGTCTTGGGCCGTCGTGGGCGCTTTTGGAAGCCGTTTTGGGGCCCTCCGGGGCCGTCTTGGGGCCCTCTTGCGGGCCTCTAAGGCCCTATTGGGCCATCTTGGGGCAATATTGGGGCCTCTTGGGCCGCCTTGGACGTCGGAAGCTCAGAAGGGCGACGACCCCAAAATCATTGAACAACTAACTTGGAGTCAATTGTTTGTGCATGTCGGGGCCCTGTTGGGACGGATCTTGGGGCTCTCTTGGGCACCTCGAAAGCTTCTTGGGCCGTCTTGGAACGCTTTTCGGCCGTCTTGGAGCCCTCTTGGGTCTCTCTTGGGTCGTTATAGGTGTGTTTGGGGAAATCTTTCGCCGTCTTGGAAGCTTCTTGGGCCGTCTTAGGCTCGAAAAGGGGAACCTACCCGGACAAGAACGGGAAGCGCCGCTTCTCTTAGCTTGCGTGCGCATGCACACGGACCCCACGTAAAGCGGAATGCGTCCCGAAATCGCCTTATAAATATTCCGTGTGTCCCGAAATCGCTATGTAAGTATTCCGTGGACCCCGAAATCGCTATATGAGTATTCTGTGGGTCCCGAAACCGTTGTATAAGTATTCTGTGGGTCCCGAAATCGCTATATATGTATTGGGTAGACCCCGAAATCGCTACAAAAAATACGCCGTTGGTCCCGAAGTCACTAAATAAGTATTGTTTCCCCTCTGCAGCTCCGCCCCTAGACCTCGGGCGGATCGCGGCTCTTGGGCCTCGCGAGGCCTGGGCCGCTCAGGCCGCCTTCCGTCTCCTCCTACACCTCCCCCTCCTCCTCAGCACTCCTCACCTTGCCTCGGATGCCGATGCGGAGGAGCTTTTTCGCGGCACAACGCGCCTCGGCCAAGCTCCGGCCGAGGCGCGAGCTCCGGG